CGCTGCAAGAAAAATTTCTTAAAATATTCCAGATAAATTTCAAAATGACTGAAACGATATCTCATCGGGAAGAGAGGATTGCGTCTATCACTATCAATAAATCTAACATCTAATCTAATCATATCGTGTAACGTTCGCTGTCCAGCTCGCTCAGCTCATTCGCATCCTCTCGAAAAATCACGATTCTTGGACGGTGACGAGGCCTGGCTTTAAAATGGCCGCACCTGCATATACTGTTTATAACGCAATGATATATCCGCTCGATCTGGTCCAATGTTTGTCCGCTCTCGGAACCCACGCAAATTCCGCTATTCACGCTTAACCTCTTAATCACGCGCGTGCATCCTTAACGAAGCCGTTCTTATCGATAATAATTAAAATGCTTCATCATTCAACGAGTCAATGAACGAAATTCGCTTCGTAACGTGAACAGGTTGATTCATCGCTCAAANAAATTTCTTAAAATATTCCAGATAAATTTCAAGATGGCTGAAACGATATCTCATCGGGAAGAGAGGATTGCGTCTATCACTATCAATAAATCTAACATCTAATCTAATCATATCGTGTAACGTTCGCTGTCCAGCTCGCTCAGCTCATTCGCATCCTCTCGAAAAATCACGATTCTTGGACGGTGACGAGGCCTGGCTTTAAAATGGCCGCACCTGCATATACTGTTTATAACGCAATGATATATCCGCTCGATCTGGTCCAATGTTTGTCCGCTCTCGGAACCCACGCAAATTCCGCTATTCACGCTTAACCTCTTAATCACGCGCGTGCATCCTTAACGAAGCCGTTCTTATCGATAATAATTAAAATGCTTCATCATTCAACGAGTCAATGAACGAAATTCGCTTCGTAACGTGAACAGGTTGATTCATCGCTCAAATATATACGATAATGCAACAGGAGTGCGTTTACCTTCGAACACTTGTCAGTGACGTAACGTTAATTACATCTGATTACGGTGTGACAAGCGTGTCACCCAGTCGAAATTGATCACAGGCAAAATTTTTGGATTTTTGGATTCTCTGCGAGTTGCAAGTTCAAGGTTACATACTCGCTTTCAATTTAATTAAAATCGTTTAATTATTCGAAATTTTTAATTTCTAAACTTGCTTTAATAAGTATACAATTAACGTGTGAGATATGTACAAGTAAATTTTGGAAAAAATATTTGGAAAGAACTGTAATAAAGATATTTACAAAATTCATTCAAAATTACAAAAGAAATTATACTAGATTATACCGAAATTATAAATATTCCGATGCACAATGGCGCACAATTCCAATAACTAAACACTTACGAAATGACATTTATGATATTTCGTGTACATTTCTCGGAACATTGAGTCATCGAATCTAATAAAGTCGTTCATATCATTGTACTATTTTCAAAGTTCGTTCCATTTTCCATGTGATCCGAACATTGCGCGAGATGTCACAACTTATTACACCCGTATCATCCACCATTCTCATAGCAAGAACGGTATTCTTACTTGTCACACTGTCACTTGCAACGATACAAATCGTTCTGTCTCTTCGTGAATTACATTCGTTAGCAACCGGTTATTCCTTTATCACGATTCCGTCTCGAACTTCTATTAATACATACATATATATGTATATATACAAAGTTATATGTATATATACAAAGTTTTAGTCGACAAATATAATAACAAGTATTCGTATTCTATTCGCCACGATCGAACGAGCCTCTTCGTAATATCGAACGCGACATTGACAAAGCGTAAATATTACTCTCTTAAAACTTTATCGAAAACTTTATCTTTCAAATTAAAATGATCGTAGAATGAAAATTTATCATATTCTTCTTTAATTAAACGATATTAATAAATTCGATAAAATGCTCGATTGAATCCGATCCTTCTATCCCTTCATATTCGCATATTTCATACAATGAACGTGCAACAGAAACGCTAGACATCTGCAGGGAATAAGTGGGCGAACCGAATGACCTCATCCGAGGTGTCTACACGACACTGCTTACATACGTGTTCTCCTTTCAACAGGAAATCGTTCTAGACCAGTCTTGGCTGTACGCTGTATACGGCCACTTTATAAATCGAGTAAATATCTCCGTTTGTACTTGCGTTTTCGCGTCCATCCGATTTATGGAAACAATTCGATTATAATGATTTCCTTCAAAATATCATAAGAAAATAAATACAAATATATATATGCAAAAGATAGAAAAATTTTGTCAAATTTTCTGCTACTCCAAAATGGCATAACACTAATTTTTTTTAAATAATATAAAATACGATTGTAAAACGTACATTTTTATCCTTTCATCGAAATTCACGAATTAAAGATCCATAAGGAAAATCACATTCGCAATCTTCTTCGTATCTAAAAAAAAAAAAAGAGAAACAAGAGAAATTTAAACAAATTTCAAGTTCTTCCAAAGATACGTGATTTTTTTTTCTTTTTTTCTTTTTCACGAATATTTCTCGCGAATCGATCGAATCGCTTTTAATATCGTTTCGAATCGTTTATTCGGAGGGGGGGAATGACGCAATGGCGGCGACCTTCCGCGGGATTGCAAAAATTTCAATTCAGAGCGTTTTACGGCGGATCGACGAGCAAAATCGTGGCGAGGAGGTCTCGACCTTTTTAAATTATTAACGATCCGGGTATCCCGGGCTTTTGTGCCGTGGATAAATATTTTTACGCTTCCCTCGCCCTCTCCCTTTCCCTCCATCCACCGTTCTCTCCGGGAATCGCGTAATAACGATATAAATTAAGACTTTATACCCGTATATAGAAAGCGAGCGATCCGTGAATTCGGTGTTTTGGATCATTGTGCGACGGGGATTTCGCGGATTTTAACGGTGTTTTTATCGTGAGGTAGCGGACAATGTCGGGTCTGAACGTGGTGAACCTTGAAAAGAAGAACAAGCGACGACCGGTTTACGACCGTTTAAGGACAATTAAGAACATGAAACGGGGTTTTGAAACGTAGAATCAAGGATTTTTTAGGAGGGGAGGAAGGAGAATTTTTATATCTCATTACTTGGAATTTTTCATCATGAAAGTGTCAAGTGTCTATATTTGAGTTTAAAAATTGATTGTGATTTGTGATTCGAAGAAGATATATTATTGCGTGTTTGTGAATACGTAATTAAGTTTCGCGCAAAGCGAAAGTGAAACTGATAATTGCATTATTTTTACTATTTTTGCTATTTTTACGAGCTGAACCGGCGAAGAATGTCCCTTGAAATTTCAATAATCAAAGTCATTCTGTAAATGTACTCGATTACCTTAATCTACAACTTGTTTGAACGCTGATGAATATCCGATCGAAACAGTGAACGCTGATTTTAATTTCACTCACACCTGTTGTAAGCACGTGATTCTCGTATTTCCGTATCCAGAAGGTAGAAGGGAGTAAGACGAAAGATATTACGAGCCTAAAAGATACAAAAGTTTCTTATTAAGAATTCGTTTGAGAAAAATCCACGTCCTTGAATAATAAATTGATCTTCGACATCATACGTTACTTACATTACGATTATTCGTTACTACATGCAAATGAGAAATAAAACGAAGATATAAAAATATAACATCGCATAGCTTAACTTAATTAAATTCGAATACGAATTTAAATGCATCGAGTTTTATTAAAAACTTCCCCAACTTTTATCACTAACCCATTATTCGAATTTAAAAGTAATTCTAGAAATATTCGAATTCTTATCGCTCCAAATTATTATTCACGCGAAAGAAGTGATACAAGTATATCCCTTTTTTTTTTTTTAGAAAAGAAAACGTTCACTTTTGATGAAGAGGGGTGTCGAAGGCCGCCACTTTTTTCAACCAAGCTAGGAAATGAGGTGTTCGTGAAAGATAATAAGGTGACGACTAGGTGGAACACGAGTCAAAGCTCCTCCCCTCGTGCCATAAGCTGCCTTCCCCTCCCCTTTCGCGGCCTTAACGTAATTTATAAATTGATAGGATGCACCTGGCGTGACCTTCGTGTGTCGAGCAAAGCGAGTTGGCGCTTTATCGTTGGGCGCGAGAATTGAAAAAATGAACGCGATTCCCGACATGCGTCCTCGGCTCGTAAAGTACTTGCGAACTTGTTCACCGATCCCACGTGGCTTTAATGGACTCGCCAACTTCGGTTCGTCCAACTTCAACATTTTACAGATACTCGAAAGCATGCGCGATGCTTATCTCGATGGAACGATAGCAAGCTTTTCTTCGAACGATCCCACTGTCTTTCTGAATTCACGACTCTTGCGCGTTCCGTATAGATAACGTTTGACTTCGTGCAACTTGGCTCGTTGTTGTATTCCCCTCCGTATCCTGAATCCCGAATTCTCAGTATTTTATGTATTTTAGCGTCGATATATTTATTTTACAAAAATAAACTTGTCTAATATTAAAATTAAATAATTAATGCAGTAACGAGTAACGCATTTTATATGCATGATATTATCCAAAAAGTTGTACTTTAATTGTAAGAATAAACGAAGGAAGAATTTTAAAGAATGCAAGGTGAAAAATTAAGCTAATGCTCTCGTATAACGCGGTTAAGGAAAATTTGGAAAATAGAAATGAAGTTTTTTTTAAAAAAAATATAAGAAAAATAAAAGAATGCCATTTGAACATTCAAAAGACGAACATCGGAAGAAATAAATATATGGATAAATATATATTATATATGCTTAGTAGTTAATGATTCTGTGGCGCTAGTATCGCGTCACAAATTTTATTCTTAATTTTAAACAATTGTGATAGTGATCGTAATATTTGAAAAAAAAAATTGAAAACAATGTTTTTCTTATCTTTACAAAATAATCAAATTCTCATCCATATATTCATCTCGTAGATATTAAATATCACTAATTACACAATAAAAAAAAAACATGAATCAAAAATAATTCCGTCTCAATTAAACAAGAATTAATTTACACTGCACGAATTTTCTTCCCGAATTTCACTGAACCAGAAAACAAACAATTTTCCAGGTACTGCTGAAGGCGGCACTGGTATGGGACGAAGTACACGGCGCTCCAGCGAAGAGGAACGACATACTCGCGGGCACGGAATTCCTGTCCGTTTTCATAAACGGCGCCATGGCGACACCACCGCAGCGGCGCAGAGGTTTCAGACGCGGAGGACAGCCGGCCTCGTCAGGAGACAGCGCGACAGCGGAATCTCATCAGCACGAGGCGTCGATTTACCGAATATCGCGCAATCCCGGGAACAGACAGGTGGTCCCAAGAGCGAGGAACACAAGCGGCCGTGAGGAGGTGGTTCGATTCTATCCCATAAGTCACAAAACGTTGGAGAACAGGCAGCAGAATCTGGCGTCGTTGATCGACGAGTTGACCACCACCGGCGACATATCCTCGACGAGGCTTGCTCCCCAGAGTTCGATCAGCGCGACGACGACAGCCACGTCGACAGCCGCTATGCGAGAGAAATCGAGGACGAACGCGACGACGGCGAGCGTCAACTCGACCAACAAAGGGGTCGTAGGTCGGCAAAAGGTTATAGGCGTCAGCGTGACGTCCACCGTCGAGGCCACGCCGTACAAGGTCAGGGTGGAACATTACGACAATACGGACGCGACGGTCGTCTCGAGGCCTCCGAGCTCCATCTCAATCTCGTCCAAAGACGTTACGAAGGAGACGAGGAATGGCACGACGAGGGCTTCCACGACCACGAGGACCACGACCGCGAGAACAACGTCGACTACGATCAGCGCGACAACCACGACCACCGTCCTTTCCACGAGGACGACCACGACTACCACGACCACGACCACACCGTCGTCCTCCAGCTTCGTCACGGAGGATCTTAGCAACATCGTGTCCGAGTCGAATAGGAGCGAGTTTTCCGTGGACGAGGGATCGCCGAGCACCAGTTGGCGATCAGCCAATCATCAGAGCTCGATCACGCCTGGCCCGCTCGCCAAACACACCCCGTCGTTCGGCCAACATCGAAAGACGAACGGCACCACTGGAAGAAGCGCTTCCTCCACGATCATCCTGCCAACCGAGGACAACTACGAATTGCCCGAGGAGAGCGAGGAGCCTAAAGAGCCGAGCGAGGAGCCCGTAGAGGTGCAATCGGAACGGTACCAGGCGGTGCAAGGGCGGAAGGCAGGCAGACACTTCGACGCTTCCCACTACAATCGACCGAGCAACAAGATGTACGGCCAATCGTCGAAGGGCTACAACAAATCACCACGACCGTACAGCGAGCCGGCCAAGTCCTACAGCGAGCCGGCCAAAGTGTACAGCGAGCCTGAGAAAGTGTACGGGGAGCCGGCCAAGGTGTACAGCGAGCCGGCCAAGGTTTACAGCGAGCCGGCCAAAGTGTACGGTGAACCTGCCAAGGTGTACAGCGAGCCTGCCAAGGTCTACAGCGAGCCTGAAAAGGTGTACTCCGAACCGTCGAAAGTCTACTCGGAGCCTGCCAAGGTATACTCTGAACCCGCCAAAGTGTACTCTCAACCGGCCAAGGTGTACAGCGAGCCTAGCAAGCTCTACGATTCCGAGGGTCACCCGTTGAATCGGCAGGGGGAACCTGACGAGCAGAATTACGAGGTGGACGAGTCGGTGAGCGTGAGCAGCAATGGAAACGTGCACGGGCCCCAGATGATGCTCACCGAGCCCTCGAACGCCTCCGAGGTGGAGGATGGCCACAAAGTGGGCTACGTGGTCGAGGGTAGGAATTACAGGAAGTACAGAGTCGAGGAGAGGACTCCGGATGGCTTCATCGTTGGGGAATACGGGGTCGTGAGCCACGACGATGGCTCCTTGAGGGGTGTCAGGTACACTGCGGACGGTACCATCAACCCTCGGTTAATTTACGACGCGCTGATGAAATTTCTGGCCCTGTGAAAGGTGAAGAGGTGTGGAAACAGATGTGGACACGGAAGTGTAGGACGAGGGAGGTACGGAGTCGACGACGTGTCGCGTGGCTTTTGTCGAAATCGACGACGAGACAGAGCGATGGCCACTTTTTAATCGTGATTTTAATCGAATCGGGAGGTAATCTAGCGATTGTTCAAATTCTAAGGTGAAATTGAATATTTCATGAATATGAAATGTGTCTATGTGTTTCTATTTGTGTATTCATCGTATCGCCATTGTCGAAGACGATATTGCGTAAGACCGAGAAATTCAATGTCATAGCAAGGATAAAACGAACGATTAAACGAGCTTCACGAACAAGCGAACGAAAACTTGGATTCGTTAGGCGCGGATGGTTATCTTTGGTCGGTCGTCACAGGCTCCGTCGTTTCTGAGGTCTAAGGAAAAGGTCACAGCGATTCTCCGCTGACTTGGCTGATCGAGTCTTTCGTCAGAGAGTTGAAATTATAAAGAATACCAATTTAAACATTATTATTCGTCGCTCGTTAAAGTTAAAATGTACAACGCGATAATGGACACTGATTATTTTCCTTTCGATATGTATAAATCGGTATATTTATTTTTATTTCAATTTCCCAACCTGTAATAGTATCAAAAATTTAAGAAAAGAACATAAATACTCTATAAGAATCTCAATTTCGATTGCATAAAGCAATGTGCATATCATCTTTTCTTATAGAATTAAATTAAAAATTTGATTTCACATAAATATCGATATATTTGTATATTGAAGATTGGTATATCTATATTTCACAAATATATTAATTAATATCTTCTCATGGAAAACAACTGTATATTTTAATTATTCGTTTAAAAACATTGAATCGTGTGATACTTCGTACATATTATTCTTCGAAAATCAATTTTATCGTCATTATCAATGCCATTACGTTATAAAAACAATAATTCAATTCGCTGTCTCGTCCAAAGCGACGCGATTAAGTCGACGGTAAACGAAAACGACTGATTCTTTCGCTCTTGCCAACGCAACTGCCTCAACCGATTAATATTTAAGAATGGCCTTCCACCAGGAAATCTCGCTGGTGTCTGGCGTCGGTGTCCACTCTTTTATGACAGGAAGGAAAAGATAGTCGCTGGACGATTCGATCGGGCGAAATGCGTGATATTCGAAGCGAAACAATTCTCGTTGCGAAACAAAAGTACGCTTCCCTTTCGATGGCGAAAGCGATACCTAACCTAACTTTTGTGCGCGCGCTCGCCTCCTCGATGGCCTTTGAGAAGCCTCTCGAGCGGCAATTTCTTTTCCCTTCTTTCGTCTAGCGATTCGAAAACTCCTCGATCGTGGCGCCACCACGTAGTTGCGTAAATTTTTGTGATCGCGTTAATCGCGCAAGCGTGTTTTCTTTCTCTCGAGATTTGTTAAAATTAGGAAGGTGGTGGTAGTGGTGATGGAGATACGACGCACGGTGTTTGGTGGTTCAGTCGATGATTGTTTATTGGTAAAGATATTTTTCGTACAATGATTTTTTTTTCTTTTTTTCATTTAATTCCAAAGTATTAACGCTAGAATTATGAAATTCCGAATCAATTCGAGAGCAGCTTCAGATTCTTTTTATTTAATTATTAGAAACAAGTGCGAGTGCTTCTAATCGTAAATCTAATTGTTTTTATATTCGTATTTTAACTTTAGTGTTTCAACTGTGTATAATGTATAAGTTCATAGTTGTAGCGTTAAGACGAAAAAAAAAATGTGGAGAAAATCTTAAAAATTGTACAATTTGTTAAATATAAAATATGATCGATATATAGAAGAGAATCGACTGAACGTATATGTCGCGTGCTTTCGTCACTACGACGCTTCTGTGATGAAAAAGCGGATCGAGAAGTCGCAGCTGCCCGGGCCTCCATTTTGGATTCACTCTTACCAAGTTAATTTAACACCTTTATCTCGATCGCCTGAAACTCGAAGGCTCCGCAGCTGCGGCCAAATTGCTGACTTGTCACGGCAGCGTCTCTGCGCACTTCTTTATAGGATTTATGTATCTATTGTGCTAAGCTCTTTAAAGACGTTCCCGCGTCATGGAAGTATCTCACTCGTCGAGAGAGCCGTATAAACGATAACGTTATTTTATTATTAGGGTTTTAAATAGCTCATTCTTCCTCATTACCTCAATCTTTGAGATAGTTCCTTCTGCCATTTAAATAACGTGTAATTCACTTTAAATTATAAAACACGATCTCGAACAGAATTGTTACTTCGAACGATCCGAATAAGACAATATTATAAAATATTTTTCGGACAAAAATTGTATTATATTATCTTGTATTATTTAGCGATAGATTTATATAGATTTTTAAATTTTATATGATATGAGAGATACGAAAAAATTCTTTAGAGAGATTTCTCTCAAATTAAATATAATGGTTGCAATAGTTTTTTTTTACACACGTTGCATATATTTATAAGATTTACGTATTTTGAATTATTTGATATCAAAAAGGTATCAAGAAGTTTTATATCAAAAAGATGAATTTTAATCCTATTTTAAAATCCTATTTTGATCGTTTTTTATTAATTAAGGAGTTTTATAAAGAAAATTACAAACAAATATTCAAATCGTTCGAGGGAAAAATCCTTGTCTTGATCTTTCGTTTTCGGGCACGTTCGCTCGAAACTTTTCCGATCGACCACGGAAAAGGGAATCTCGAAGCGGACGTGAGGTCTGTTCGCGTGGAATCGATGAAACTCGTTCGCTCGAATGTTGCTCATCCTCGTAGGTTTAAGTTGCGCGTTCATCGTCTCTATTTTATTATGTGTAAGAGATAAAGTATTCTGATATTAGTTACACGTGATACCATTATGATTTAAGAAAACTGTCTCTCTTTAACGTTAGGCGTTGCAACGATAAGTCTAATGTTTATTATTAAAATATTATAGCGCTGTGCAACCATTGTCATTTCGTCGAATACAACTTTGTAATAAATTCCATTGTCATAATATTTTTTTTTTTCTTTTTGTGATCCGATTTACTTTAACCTTTTAGATAGAAATTGCGAGTTAATTAAATTATCAATAACACTTAACAATTTGATTTATAAATTTTTACAAATTGTATATTCCTTTAATTTTGCACCTTTATTTTTTTTTTATTCCATCCAAAAATATAAAATAAAATAACAATCATAAAATCATCTACTCAAACGTACCTAAAGAAAACATTCAGTTTTACTTAAATCGTTAAAAGTGACGATCGATAAATCAATTTTATCGTTTAAAATTATCCCATCTTTCGTATTAATATCTTTTCTTTGAGAATCTCAAACTGTCTCAATAAATATAGGAAATACTTTGGGAAGAAATTACGTCGTAAAACACCACGTCGAAGAATTTAAATTCCCATTTATAAAGCATCTATATTTTTTAACCTCACTCTTGTTAATTTTTCACCATTATCGAGATACATATGGACTTTTACAAACACGTTTGCGACATACCCAAACAAGGGAAGAAACAGGAAACCATATAATTTCCCACCATGAATATTCTCATTCTACTGACGTTTAACTCTCGTCGATAAATTTTACGTTATACCTTTGATTTACACGCAGATTCTGTATCAACATCACACATTTTTTTTTTTTCTCCATCGGTTACCGTAATTATTTTGAGAGAGACAGAGAGAAAGAGAGAGAAAGAGAAGAAGAAGAAAGAGAACTTTCTGGCAAGGTTGTAGGAAGGTTGTCGAGGACAACGATCATTGGGTTAAAAAATGATTTATGGGATCATTATCGACACGAAGGCAGGTTGATAATGAATGGATCGAAAGGAATCGGATATTGACCGATCTTGAATTCGGGAGAAAAAAGGAGAGGGGGGAGGGGAGAGACACGCAAAAACCTAATCACGACGGCGATAATTCACGCTTATGAACTTTAATCTGTACTCGTGATCGTGTCACAGGGCTGCAATTTTGTCACGGAGAGAAAACGGAGAGAAAAATTAATTCGAGCAGTATCGAAGTTGGGAGAGACGTGTTATTATGAGAACGAATAAATTCAACGTGTTTATTATTTTTTTGTAAAGTACGCTTTGGTGAAAATTTTTTGATATTCGATTTTCATGTTTTTTTTCATTCAACAGTGACACTGATGCGATAAAAATACGTAATTCATATGTAAATCATATGTTATTACAAGTTCAATTAAATTATATGTTTTATAATTTTGGATGTTAATGTGCAAGTAATGATTTATCTTTTTTTTATTCTATTTGAGAAATGCAAATTTTATTGAAACGTTCAATTTTTAATTTTTGACAGTTGGTTCAAGGTATAAAAGAAATTAATGATTTTATTATTAAAAAAAATATGTATCTATGTCTGTCTTATCACTTATTTTATACATCCTGTTATAATTTTTTCTGTTGATTACATTTCAGACACAATTCCTCGATCAAATATCAATCATAGAATAACCCAGAAATATGATGACACGTTTGAATCGATTCAATGTGTAATTGTAAAGTGAGAAAGGGGATGTAATAATTTTTATATCCAGTGCAGCTGCACCGTCCGTAAAGGTCGATTATTCAAGTGGAAGAAATTATATCAAGCAAACCAGGAGGCTCCATTTTATTAACAATTATTGTTGCAAACTTTTTCCCTCCTGCCCTGGCATTAATTGTGTTTCGCGAATCGGTGATAAATCACATTGGAAATTCACTGTTATCAATGTGGCTGCCTCGTGACAGTTGAAATTGATACAAATTCAATAATTATGCTCGAGGATACTCTCTTCGAAATTCTTAATAAATCTCTTCCTTACGTAGCCAGCAATTATTAGAGTAAAATAATCCTGAACAGAATAATTGATAAATCAATGATTGATAGGAATAAATTAGATTATTGGAACGTTTGACGAATCTTTTTCTTCTTTTCAAGTGATTAAAGAGAATACTTTGAGAGAATCGCGTAATGTATCTAATTATGTACACGAATCGTTAATCAAGATGACATTAATAAATATACCTATCTGGAATGTATATCGTTTAATTATTGCAAGTTTAACGAGATAGAAATAGCTTTGTAACTATTTTTTCAACGTGAAACTTAAGTGTAATCGAGAAGTTGGTTGACTTTTATCGTATTATTTGACTTTCAATTTTCGTGAATTATTTTTATCTTAATTATATTATATTTTTTTTGAATAATTTCTTCAATATCCAACATATTACTACATATAATAATTTAAAAAAAAATAATCATCAGTTAGTTTTAAGTTTCTATTACTTTTACTCTCAAGTATCAATAAAGATCGATAAAAGAATTAAAAATTTCGAAAATAATCTCTTAGAAAAATCAGTAGGTATCTCATTTTTAAAATTCTTCCCGTTTCATATTCTTTCTACACCCATCCGCCTCTGCTTCCTAAATCCTAACTATATTCGTCGAATACGTCGATCTCTTTCTTGCCCCTATTCATTTCACGATGGTCAGAACCGGTAGCTTCTGCACGATACGAATTTCACGCTTGTCTAGTTCCCTCTTAATCTTCACCTTCCTTTTTCATCTTCCTTTCTTTTTTCTTTCTTTCTTCTTTTTTTCTCGAAAGACGATCTCGATTCCACGAGAGTTTCGTTAAATTTAACCGTGGCTGATAGAAACGAAACTCCTCGCTATTAAAATATTCATGCGGTTAGATCGATAACTTCTCCCCCCTCCCCCACTGGTGTGGAACTCCGACCGGGCTGCTTCATTATCCTGGCGCCAGACAGGACACTACGGGGCCCCGTGTGTTTTAGCCATGGGGCCAGTGAACGTCCTTGGTGTCTTTCTGGGGTCTTTCCTCCTTGGGATACGTTCGTTGCGCGTTGTGTACGCTGACATTTTAGCGATCCATTGGGAAACTTATCGTAGAAATGAAGTGATAGTTATTTTTTTCTTTTTCTTTTTTTTCTTCTTTTCGTTTTATTGATGTAAAATGTGGTACGTAAGTGAACGTCGATAGTAATGTTATGTAGCATATTTAGAAGAAAGAAAGATTGATATAAAATAAATAGATACTTAGGTTGAATAAATTATCGTTTTATTATTGCATTATTGAAATATTATACGTTGTACTGGTATTTTTTTCTTTTTTTTCTTTTTTTTTTTACGCCTACTCAAAATCGATGAAAATAGCGAATCGAGTCGCGAGACGATGTAGGTTTAATGTGGAAAATTTATGGGATGATCTTTCTTGGATTCTTATCTGTTTAATGTAAAAATCGTTTTTTTCTCCTTTTTCTTTATTTGCTGGATGTTGAGCGGTTCAAAAAGAAAGAAAAGAAAGAAAATTATATACATCGAAGTTTATTTTCTGATTCTTGAATGAGAGCGTTATATTGCAGGCTAAAATAATTGTTAGGACATGAGTAAGATACTCATTTAGTTAGTTTCTTTTATGGATAAAATATTTTATATTTAAAGAATTAAATATAAATCAGAATGGAAATACACAATTAAAACTAAATTTCGATGTAAAATTATCAATACGAGAGAGAAATATTATAATTCTAATTGATTATTATAAAGATTAAAACACATTATAATTTTGAAAGAGAAATAATATTGCGTTCAATTAACGCATGGTTACGCGCCGAGTGTAAAGACATATAGACAAAGAAAGTAAGTCATAAGAAAAGGACAGAGATAGGATAAAAATATTGAATTCAGCGCCATCTTCAGAGTGCCGCAAATGAAACATAAGAAAAAAGGACAGAAAATAGTAGAAAAAGGATAGAGATAGGTAAAAAGTGACCTCTGGCGCCATCTCTCGAAAATCGTCCGAAACTTGTCCTATTCGGGTTTCTAAACATCTTCGAGAGATGGCGCTATTTGTCAATTCTCCATTAATTCATAGTATAAATAAGACAAGGAAAGTGAATAATGAGAAAAAGATAGATATAAGATAAAAATATTGAATTCAGCGCCATCTTCAGAGTGCCGCAAATGAAATACAAGAAAAAAGGACAGAAAATAGTAAAAAAAGGATAGAGATAGGTAAAAAGTGACCTCTGGCGCCATCTCTTGAAAATCGTCCGAAACTTGTCCTATTCGGGTTTCTAAACATCTTCGAGAGATGGCGCTATTTGTCAATTCTCCATTAATTCATAGTATAAATAAGACAAGGAAAGTGAATAATGAGAAAAAGATAGATATAGGATAAAAATATTGAATTCAGCGCCATCTTCAGAGTGCCGCAAATGAAATACAAGAAAAAAGGACAGAAAATAGTAAAAAAAAGGATAGAGATAGGTAAAAAGTGACCTCTTGCGCCATCTCTTGAAATTCGTCCGAAACTTGTCCCATTCATGTTTCTAAACATCTTCGAGAGATAGCGCCATTTGTCAATTCTTCCATTAATTCATAGTATAAATAAAATAAGGAAAATTATAATGAGAAAAAAATAAAAATAAGATAAAAATATTGAATTCAGGGCCACATCCAGAGTGCCGCAATTGAAACACAAGAAAAAAGGACAGAAAATAATAGAAAAAGGATAGATAAGATAAGAATTGACAAATGGCGCCATCTCTCAAAAGTATTTAGAAACTAGAATAGGAGAAGTTTCAAATGATTTTTGAGAGATGGCGCTCGAAGCCTATTCTTACTATATTAAATAATGGAAGAATTAACATATGGCGCCATCTCTCGAAGATGTTTAGAAACCCGAATAGGACAAGTTTCGGACGATTTTCAAGAGATGGCGCCAGAGGTCACTTTTTACCTATCTCTATCCTTTTTTTACTATTTTCTGTCCTTTTTTCTTGTATTTCATTTGCGGCACTCTGAAGATGGCGCTGAATTCAATATTTTTATCCTATCTCTGTCCTTTTCTCATTATTTACTTTCCTTGTCTTACTTATTTTACGAATTTAAGCTGTTCAAAGAGTGGTTTCCAATATTTATCGATTAGAAATATTAATAAAATGTATTCGATCCAATTTTTATATGTTATAAGTATTTTATAAATATTTATTTGATATATTTAAATGTAATATTTTATAATAATAATATGTGTATTCTTGCTAATAACTTTCTACAAATTTTTTATATTATCTCTAATAAATGTAAAGAAAAAATTTTAATAAATTTTATCGTTTATTTGAATGTGAATAAAAAAGAAATATATTTTTTTAATTTTAATTTTAATTTTAATTTAACGTAAAACATGTTTTCTTTAGCTCAAAATTCTGTTCTGAGCAATCTCCAAATAAATTACCGCCTTCCCATTTCTTTATAGACAATTTCAAACGTAGTTCGCATTAAATAAAGAGAAAATAAAAAATAAAGATACAGAAACAAGGTATCTTGTCAGAATTTTGCATATTTTATACATTCCATATATTCTACGTAATGGCAACAATTGCAACGCACGATCGATATCATTTCCTATGCTACAGTTAACGCTCATCTAACCAACCAACACTATCATATTTCTGCAATAATTTCTGATTTTTACAGTTATTATAATTAATGTTCCTTCGATTACCGTTTCATTATTCTCCTTTCTTCCATTTCCATATTTTCATGCACTGGGTGAGTCATCTAGCTTTTACAATCGAACAAGATTATATTCCATCTGATCGACTCACTTACATAAATCTAAATCTCTATTAAAATATAAAATAATTATAGCTAGTGTTAAAATATAAAATATAAAAATATATATAATGTATCGAATATATTACAAATAGTCTAAATCTCTCTTCTTACCCTATTGTAATTATTGTTTTAGATTAAAAATAATTATTAATCAACGGTTAATTAATAAATGAAAAAGATTATTAACGAAAAAATATACGAAAATTTATCGCGATCAATAGTAATTATAGATAAGAGAAATTAATTTCTCTTATCTATAATAATTTCGCTAATAATTTCTTTTTTTTTTCTCCATAAATTAAAAAGTAAAAAGATGATTTTATCTTACTTTGGCACGTAAAAATTAATTGCTTAATATCCGTTATTAAAGCATCGAACGTTCTATTTTTGAGCTGTTCCGTTGAAACGCAGTTCTTCCTTACGATGTACTTTCTCCGCCAGTTTCCGCGGAACCTTTTTTTCTCCTCGTTCCTTTCGAATATCATCGAGGAACTTTCCTTGTTTCTTGGGTTTGTACCACATTTTTTTTTTTTGAACATCGCGTTACAAGGCCTGCATGGCTAATTAACTTCGTTGGATCAGAATTATCTATCGACTCGATCATTCGTTACTGCACTGATTTTCCTGGTCAAATTCTATCCGACTGTGAGAAAGTATCTTAAGAAGACTTTTATTTCACGTTTCATCTATCGAACTTGGATCGAATCTGAATAATTGGTGAAATTTTTTTTATTGTTTTTCCCGGGATCAGGGAAGGAAAATTCTTTTTAAAACTTCGTGCAACGATTCACAGAGATTTATTAGCAATAATGGAAATTAAGCAATTAAAGGATTCAAATATATATGTAATTTATTTTATTTTCTCGATTCTGGATAATTTGTTTCGAGTATTATAAAAACTTTTTATAATACACGTTTTATAATATACACGTTTTATTATAGTTTTTTACGTAATAGTATTCTCTCTTCTAGTATTCTCCTCTAGTATTTTCTCTTTACTTTTAAGGAAATAAATTAAATTAAATTATTCAAGTAAATTTAAGCATTTAACATTTCATTGTTGTATACCCTTTAATATATTAATTACAAGTTTGGAAAATTGACATAAAAAACAGAGTGTTACGTAGATACTATTCTTTCAATGTTTCCTTTAGACGAAAACTTCCTGTTACTCTCGAGAAGTCACGAAGAATCTGATTTCGAAAATTACCGTGAGTTTTCACACGGATCTGGATAAAAAAAAAAAATCGAGATTGCTCCTTTAGTATCCTAGGTTTACGAGGTTCTTAGACTTCGTTTAGAACGAATAATAGTCCTCTTGTACAATATCCGTGTAATATCCTCTAATTTTGCCCGCGTAGCTGACATTTTTTTCACACGATTATCGATTTAATATATTTTCGCCTCAGCAATAAATTCCGTGAATCGTGTTTTCGCAATGGAATGGGTTTTTTTTCGAAAATTCGAAGTTGAAAAATTTGCTCCAACTCTGAAATTCATTTCGATAAATAATAACGATCAATTAGAGAAAATATACGACATACGATTTTTTTTATGTTCTAACGTTGCCAAAAGATTTTGAAATGTTGGAAATAAATGTGAATTTGTAAAAAAATTTGTACCGTCAAAATGTTTAGAGATAAAAAATATCGTATTAATAAAAATACATGAAAAAGTAAATGTAATTTTAATAAAATTTTCAATTCGTAAAAGAATGCAATGAAGATGTAATGTGCGATAAAAAGCATGCAAAGATCTCTAGAATTTGAATTGGTAGCGTTATGCGTGCTCGATGTATATGCACATCTCCATTGAATTACGCGTTGATTCTTAAGAGATGAGGATGTCGAGATAAGCCTCACAATTTACGATCAATTTACGATCAATTCGCATTTTTTGAAAATTGAAAAATTCAGGATCATCGTAGACGGTAGCCATTTTCTAGTTGTTCACTGTGCACCAATTTTTATTTTTATTTCTCTATTTCAGATATTTTTATGACCGTTATTAGATCTCATTAATAAGTGATTTGAGTCAATTATCGGAAATCATTTGCACGTTATAAACGTTAGTGCACGATTTGTAAAAAAATATAGCAGTCGGTTACGACATGCATGAAGAAATTACTTTTGTCTTTTCCTTTTTATCTTGAATCGATATGAACATATTCTGATTTAGAGATTTTGAAATTCTTTCATATTTTTTTTTTTTTTTTTTTCCGTCACTTTTAAACTCTTTTCAACGAAAAAGGAATAGTTATATTATTACATTATCTAAATAATTTATATTATCCGTTTTGAACGAAAATTTCTCTTTTTCCTTGTAAAATGTATTTTATTACGTATTGTATATAATTGAATAGAAGAGGTAATGTATATTGTTGTTACGTTATTTTTCATTTCTTCTTTGTTATGCTTTAATGGAAGACAAATAAAACATTTGATGCACGGAACCGGTTTCATTGACTTCAACAGTCAACTCTTTGACTTACGAACGATTGATTAAGTAACAAATCTTAATTTCGAGTTGGTTAAACTGCACCATGCGACAGTCATTTTTTATAGGTGTTACGTGATGTATTTATTTTTATCGTTAATTAATATTTATTTTTACGCATCACGATATTCTAAGAATGTGGAAAAAAATAATATATTAATATATTTCTCAAAACAAAAAAAAAAAAAAAAAGAAAAAAATACTCGAAAGCAATAGATACATATGAAAGTAGTTTTCACCTTGTACAAAATTTCCTCTTATTCCGGTAAATTCTTGTACTAATAAAAATTCCATCTACAATTCTATCTTACAAATTAATTGACAAGATACACCTACGCATAAAGAAGAAATAATGAGAGATAGTTTAATTCCTTCGAAGTGAAATTGATCAGGAAATACTTATATTTCTAATACTTATATTTTTATCGATACAATTGTTTACCCATTTGTCTATTTTTATAAACAAGTTATATCGACACAATCAACATTTCTACATTACTTTTAACGCCACCAATATTTAATTACCTTACACTGTTCAACATTAATTAACACTGTCATCATTGTTCACTATATCCCGAAAATACTTTACATCAAATATTTTGACATCGTCGTCATTTAAAATTTCATTTCGATCGCCAACACTCTTATCATCTATTCTTTCCTCTCGAAGAAGGTTGTAAATCTCGTACACGGTGTCCACACCTTCCTAAATCAACCTTTGTGAACAAATAGTTGCGGCAACGACATTGCATTCTTGCAATCGGGCCCCGATAATATCCCGGGGGCCCCCTTCGGTGGCTCGCTCGTTACCCGAGGCAGAATTACTTTAAAAAGTAGGTAGCCACCGGCCGTCTGCTCGGCCGACCAATTACACTCGGGGCCGACACCGAGTATATAGAAGAGCCACGGCGGCTCCAGCGACTGATTTCCGCTCGAAGAACCGCGAACCGAGCATCCACGTTCATCGATTCCTCCGCCCGCCACAGCCATGAGACTTCCAGTGAGTGATGATCAGATAAATTCAAATTTTATTCAAAAATCGTTTAATTAGAGTCAATTTACTTTTGCCATCGATGGAATTGTCGAGGGGAGGGGGAAGGGATGAGAATTTAAAAGTGTCGAGTACGTAGTTTTTTTTCTTCTTTTTTTCCTTTTGGATTTCTAATTTTATCTTCGATAGTGATTGAGTGAAACATATATATAGTTTGTTAATAATTTTTAATTTTAATGTTAGATCGATAATTCATTGGTATTGATAATTTGTTGATGGAATCCATCCCCATTGGGGGTGGATTTAGAACTTGAAAGTGAAGCCATTATAAATTTTTGTTTTCCTTGTGAGTGAATCGGATAATTTGATTTTATTAAGAATGAAGATTCATGATTTAGTTTGGCGTTCCATTGATGGTGTATCATTGGAGCTATTTTTTTGATTTTTGTTGGGGGGAGTGGGATGACGATGGCACGAATTATCATTCGAAATATATTGCGATATATCGTTTGAAAATGACCACTAGATGGTGATCACAGAGTCGATTTGTATTTTTAGCCATTTTCTTTGAGGCATGTTGCTCTTTATGGTGATGAGGTAGAAAAGAGGTAGAAATAGAAAAAGTAAACGAGCTTTAGTATTACGATGATATTACACTATGAAACTATGTTTGATATTTATTTTATAATTCCTCCTGTGTTCTCTTATATAATAATTTGAAAAAGTAAAAAAATAAATTGATTTAGTTATTTAAAATTTTACCATTAGAAATTGTATTCCAAACTCGATTTCTATTTAAACTTTCGCAATCATTTATTCTCCTAGTTCCTTCTTTTTCTAAAAATTTATTGTTCTTCTGATAGCAATAAATATAATTATGAATTAATTAATGCAATTTCTCTTTCTTAGTTACTATACACTGTTTCAAGGCTCGTGATTCGACTCGTGTGTGTTTCACATTTCAATTCGCGATTTTAAAAGCAGAATAATTTATTAAAATAAAGAGAGGGGGGAAAGAAAAATTCTAAGCTCCATTATAAAATCCTCTCAAACACGCACGCTTGTAATTTATTTACGGTCATCTCTCTCTCTCTCTTTCTCTCTTTCTCTCGAATTCTTAATACTCGAATCGTAATTACTAAACGAAAGTTCATTCTCCAAGTAATCGGTCTTAATTTTCCATACTTAATGCGTATCATACAAATAGTTTACAATTCATGGCACTTTCATACATACATAGTTAAACTTAATTTTATGATAATTCCAACTATCCACGAAAGGTGTACAATGGAAGAAAGTGAACCAGCGTTTAACCAACTATCGTTACTTTAGAACAGAATCAATCCAAAAAAAAAAAAAAATAAATAACGAAAAAGCATCTCGTTTTTTAATCAAATCTCACCATCCCTCAAACACCATCAAAACGACCAACGAACCCAAGTCGTTGGCGCTTGATTTCCATCTCGATCTCCGAGAGAAGGCCAGATCTCGCGTCCTCCTTTGACCAGAGAAAGACGGCTAGAGGAAGACTTCGCTTTCTAAAGGATCTCGGATTACCGAGATTACGCCATCGTCGCATTCGTTGTTGTATATTCGCGACTTCTCGCGATAATGCGCAATTTTATCTGTTCTCAGATCTTCCTTATCGCCTTGTTGCTCGTTTCGATGACGATGGCGCAAGAGAAGAACGGTCAGCGTTCCCCTCGTGCACCGCAGCCGCAACTCAAATACCAAGATCCGAACGGTAAGAGTAAGAGCACACGAAAATCGAGAATTAAAACGATATTTACGCGAGATCGATTATTTGTCTCTCTCTCTCTTCTTTCCTCGAGAATAGTGCGACAGATTGAATTTCTATTCGATGTTTAAATTTAATTGGCTTTTAGACGCGATAAATGATAGTAAATTTGATCAACTTCGATTTGTAATTTGATTTCAATTGTTCGTGCTTGCAACGGGATTAACGATTTTGCGATCGATCTCGTGAGAGGTTCGAGGATTTTCAGGAATGTTCGTTGCTTAAATGAATTGTATATAACGATATCAACGATATTGCTCATATCCTTAGGTCTAAAGGTCGATTGGAAATTTTTCGGCATTCTGAATCAGTTTCGACCTCAGCAGAAATCCAGCGAGCAAACGGAGGCGGAGTCTCAGCAATTGCAGGAGCAGCAGCCTCAGTCGCAACTCGTCCAGATCGAATCCGACCGGTTGGAACACAGATCGTATTTGCAAGATCAAGCACAGCCAGATGCTCAACAGATACGGTACAAAACGTTCGTTCAACCGATCGACGTCCAATCGCCGGATCCAAATCAGATTCAGTACGGCAGATACTCGGATCCTCACGCGAAGCAAGCGATCGTGGAAGACTTCAAACATCCTGACCCGTCATCCTCCGTTTACTCTTATCCTCAGCAACTGGTCCAGCAGGATCAGTACGAGACGTCTGAGAATTACGGCGAGGAAGCACGGAAAACCAGGCGAGAGTATGCGAACAGGGGTAGAATCGTGTACAAAGGTAGCTACGAACAGCAACAGGAACAGCAACAGCCTCAGGTGGAGCACATCGCTGTGCCCGTGGAGAGGCTTCCATCGCCGATCCCTCAGAAATTGGTCATCGACAAGAACATGCCTGTTCAGATTCAACGGTTGCTTCAATATCAGGCACGATTGCCATACGAAGTGATCGCGAACACTATTACGTACAAACCGAAATCTTTGTTCGTGCCCAAGCCAATTCCTGTAGATGGAAAGGGGCCGTATCAGTATCGAAGCAAGGTTTATTACGTGAATAATGAACAGTACGAGGACGAAACCTACCACGCGACCAAACCTGTCGAGGAGAATCAGAGGCATTGATGTTGAATTTGGAATTTGGAATTTCATTGGAGTTTTTTTTTATGTTTGTAGATTTGGTCGTTGAGATTGGAATTTTGATCGGTTCAATCAAAGGGATGAGGGAAGATTTGACTTGAAGTGGAAGGAAACGAAAGGATTCGTCGTTTTATTTCGTTTTTATATTAATATTAGAATTAACAAAATGTATATCTGAATATGTGTAGATATGGTTAAAGTTGTTTAAAAATAATTTAGATGTGTTAATCGTGTCGTCTGTTTGGATAAAAAATCTTGATATTAATTTTGCTGATAATTATAAAAACGAAAATCTGAAATCAATTTTTCGTCCATCGTTCAACGGAAAAATCGAAGATATTTCCAATCTCGACATGTTGAAGAACAAAGAAAGGTTTACACTTTTTGAGTATATATATATATTCTGGTATATCATTAAATCGCACACAGTTACTTTATTAAATTCAGTCACTGATTTCAGCTTTAATTTTATTCACGATTCTTCTTACAGCTTTAAATGGATACAATTGTTTATCAATTTTTTCGATTTGGATTTCGTAATAACGATGAAATTCGATTATAGTTTGTAATTAGCATATAATATATACTAATATATATTATAATCACTAATATACACTTAAAACAAAAATCATATTACTTTAAATTTAGTATATAAATATTATTAATTTTTATACAAATTTATACATTTTTTTGAAATATCACTTATGCCGCAATAAAAATCCCACTAATTTATAATTATATCTACTTCGGTACATTCGATAACAAAAATATAATATTATCATATTTCTTTAGAATTACTTATGTCGCAATAAATATTTCGAACCGATGTAACAATTAAAATCAATCTTTTTTAAATCAATACAAATTTCAAAAGAAAAACAAAAAAAGAAAAAGAAAAGAAAGCGATCTTTGAAATGTATGTAACGCATATAACACGTAAATTCCATCCACCTTTATAAATTTCATCGTATTATGTCTCAAAATAAAATAAATAATTCAACCTTTTTTTTCTCCGCCCAACGAAATCATTCCTCGTTTCCATGAAAACGAAACGTTTCCAGGCACGAGCGTGAATGGCGTGAACGGAACTTCCGGCGTAAAAGTAACTCGAGCGCTCGGTTACGAAATGGTTATCGATCTCTCGAGAGCCGCTTCCTAGGGGAATTTATCGAATATCACGCGCTCGAGCACGATCTGCTCCGTTTACCCGTCGATAAATCTCCCCTTGTTGAAGCACGCGTAGAAAGTCGGATGGTTTCCACCTTTCTAATAAAGACGCGTGCTCCGACCGATGATGGAAAGCGATACGATAATATCGAACGTACGACAAGTCGAAAGTAAATACGATCGTTTGTTTTGAATCGACGATCGTGTATCGTAGGGTATAATATTTATCATTAGGATGTCGAGCGATATCTGTATAGGAAATCGATTTCAGTTAGTTGAATCGAGGTATTCGTGTTTGTTAACATTGTAGGAAAGCAATGATCTATGTAATTTCGCGTTGTATATCGGTTTGATTAATTAAAAAAAAGAAGAGGAAATAGTTATGAATCGAATACTTTAATTGTAGAATTTTCTTCCTTTTTTTGAATATGGAATTTTTATAATTCTTTTTCTTGATTACTCGTTTATTTTAATAATTTAAAGTCTTCGATAAAAAGAATTTTGTATCGTAAGAAAAATAAAAAAATTTAAGGTACAATTTATTGTAACACTTAAAATATAGGTACAGTTTTACGTTCAATCATTAATTTTAATTATATATAAGAGAGAGTCGAAGAAGTGAATTACACATTTCATTAACTCAAACGATTTTCCTTTCGAACGAATATCTGAAATAATTTCACAATTTCCTAATTCTCGTTTAGAAAGAATTAATTACCATTTCCTTAACCATTGCAGAACTTCCGGTTTTCTGCTCCACTTTTATGGTAAAGCCTTTTAATTATCGTTGAAACAAAACAAAAGATCAGAAATTTAGTTTTTTCGAAGAGTTATAGAACTTCGTAACGAAAGTGACAACATTTCAAGCGTACAAGGAAGAGCATGTATGTAAAACAGTCTTGTGGCCTTCACGCATCTTGAGTGGATTCGTGTTAACTCCCGATATTTGCGATTATGCACGCGCTCAGCATACGTGTTGCAACTTTCGTTTCTATTCTGTCCACAAACGCATTCATATTTCACTGGATAATCTTTGGGTTCGTTGATCTGAAAAATGAAACGATATTAATTTCAATTTCCTTTCGAAATTTATTTTTGAGTTCATTAATGATCAATTCGTAAAGATGGATTAATGAAACGATAATAAAATTTTTCTGTAGTAAAAAATAAAGTTATAATTAAAGCAGAAAAAGATATTTTGTTATATTATTTGTTGTAATGTAACGCGATAAAAATTAAAATTAAAACTTGAATAAAATAATTAATAATAGATGTGTGTTCGATTTACAAAAAGAGAATTACGATAAAAGATTTGATTTCGTTCCGGAGTACGGGAAAACCGGTAGAATAACTCGATTCGTGAAGCGTGATTGTATGCTCTCCTCTTACTTTTCATATTTTATTCGAATCATTTCGCTCTCTTCCGGTAAGATACAATAAGGAAAAAGAAAATCTTCGATTCGATACATTCGATTTTAACGAACTTATATTGTCTCGAATCTCACATTTGTAAATAATCGTGTCGAATTAGTAATACTAATTGTATATATTATATCATATTAATTTCACGTTATGAAATTTTAAGTTCATTCAATTACAATTAATAATAAGTTACACAGTAAGTAGATATAATTTATTGAATGCAACAGGATACGTGAAAAATTAATTATTCATGTCTATTTATTTTATTTGTTTATTTATGATTATTTAAGTTCAATATGTGCATAACCGCATTTAATTGTTGCATAGGGTCGTTGCATGGCGGTAACCTTTGAATGGGTTCTCCACATGGGAAACGTGTCTTTGAATCGCATTCCTTATCGATGGCTTCAGCGTTTTTTCCAACGATGCAATCGAGTGTACGCTTTTACGAGCAACGAAGAAACATAGTTACATTCATTGTCGACATGAATCTTCGCAACACTTTTATTAGCTTTTCAAACATCACAGGTAAAATAGGGACACCTTTAGTTCAATGCAATTTCTTAAAGTATTGTAAAAAAAAAAAAAAATAAAAGAAAAAAGAAAAATAAATATTGGTACGTAATTTTTCTTATAACGAATAAATATAATTATTTGATACACATTACATTATTTGATACAATTTAATACAATCTTTTTACAATCTTTTACGATTTTATATAATCGTTATAAAATTATTTCTTTTTACAATAACTAAAAATAATCTCGTCATTTAGTCATAGATTGAATGTAATATTAAAGCAAAAAATTTATTCACCTCCAACACAATATAAAAATAATTTTATCTTCATTTAAAAAAAATACTGATTCCTTTTAATTTCTCATTAACTCTCCACTAAGTATCAAAACACTTCCTCCTCTCAAAACATTTCCGGTACCGCAGCATATCTTATGGCCACGGTGAGCCACAGTAGTAAGTTTGTTCAAGAGGAAGCATCACCATTGGCAATGAGGCGAAATGGGAACCGAAAGAGAAAAAGAAAGAAAGAAAGAAAAAAAGAAAGAAAGAAAGAAAGAAAGAAAAGGAAAAAATTCTGAAAAGCCAGTTCCGTGGAACGGTAATCCAGGTAGCAGATAAAACGGAGGGCTGGCGGAGGTGGGACGAGAAGTCACATCCCCGTCGCCGAAAGCCGCCTTTTACGTAGCCGCCTATAAAGTTGTTCCGGTGACCGCGCGGCCGCCTCAGATACACTCCACCCTTGAACGCATCGACCAGCATTGCTTTCTCGCCATGAATTTCCTCGTAAGTACCTCACTCCTCTCTTAATTTCACAATTTGTCGTTCTCGAACCTCAACAATGAATTAATTCTTCGATCTCGATTTCGATTGAAATTTTCCTTTTTATTTTTCTTTTGTTTTATTTTATTTTATTTTTTTTTTTATTCATCTGGTTTGGTCTGGGCTCTCTGTGATTATGGTTTATCGTTTCTAAATTTATTCTCTACGGTTTGTGATTTAATATATTGGCGAGCAGAAAGATTGAAAGGTATGATGGGTGTTAAAATTAGAGCATGGCGGAACGAAATGTGTCGCGTGTGGTTTAAATCGCGACTAAGAAATTAAATTGTGCACGATATTTATATATTTCTCCATTCTTTTTTATTTCATTTCGAATAAATTTAACCAAATTTTAGTTTCGCCGTTATTATTCTAAGTTTCTTATGTTTTTTATTCTTTGTGTTTTATGGTTTAAATTATGAAAATATGGGAGCAGGATGTCTTTGAAAATTGAAACGTGCAGAAGGAAATGTGTCGCGTGTGGTTAATCGCGATGAGATGTCTCACATCACGAGTTTCCGGTAAAATGGCGTACGTGTTCGCGCATCGTGGTTTAATTATATCGTGGGTGAGTTATTTCGAAAGGAAAGTCGTTATACACCGTGAAATTGATCGTGAAATTGTTTTTAGGTGAGATTACGAAATTTACGCTGGAAATAGAACGTATATACGATTTAGAGATGAATTTATGAATGAATAAATTTGACAAAGAAATTGGCTCTCATAATACAAATATGACGGACAAAACGTGATTATAACGAAACGTGTTGAATACGATTGGATAATAATCGTTATTTGCGAGATAATTTTTTTCTCAGTGATTGTTGATCATTGCTTTACTTATTAATTAGTAAGATTGATAGCAATGAGAATTTGTCAAAGTATTTTTGCTCGTGGATATTCGCTTCTCCTTATTTCTGGAAAAATTATTATTCATTTTCTTTTTATAATAACTACAAACACGCGAAATGAAAGTTCTATAAGAAGTAAGGACATTCGTGTATGTATCCACTTATAATTGTACCTCTTTTATCCAGTTTCAACAACTTTTTACAGTTACCTGATAATTAGAGTAAAAATAGGACACTTGTATAGAATATACACAGTATTCTTTTACTTTCAATAGCTACGATCAGAAACAATATCTTTCAATTTATAGGAAACATACGTGCAAAGTTATTACTTTATAATATTTATTTTAAAATTATTAATGAAAAGTCATAAAAAAAATACAAATGTGCAGAAAAACAAATAAGTTTATAATATAATTTCTTCAACAAAGAATTTGATTGAATTAAATTACAAAGACGTAAATAATTGGAACAAAAGGATTACAACATATAACATTCCATGTCTCGATCAATATTTTCTGACAAGAAATCATTACGCCAGACAAGAACCCTTTTCTTCGAGAGTAAACGAAACAGGCGTGTCTTGTCAGCTAATTTATATTTCACTTTCCATAGGCTAACGTGTAATTCTTACAATGGTTGTGCTCGATAGCCTGTGTTGGTTTCCATGATAGATTTTATTTCTTTTTCCTCATCGAGTGGAATGCTCGGAGGAAAGGTACACCAATACTCGTCGCCTTTTCCCGATTACGGAAACTGCTATTGCTA